TTATTTTGCTCAAAACTTTTTCTTCTCAATTTTACAAATAAATGCAAAATGTTAACCATAGCTTACATGAACTTAACCATGTTCCTACACGAACTGGCCTCTATTGTAGAAAAGCCAAGCACTCCTCCTGGCTCAGATGTACTCTTTGCTGTGTAGTCTTTGAAAAAGCTTTGTGTACAGCTTTCTCCCTCACTTCCTTCAGGCCTCTACTTTAAAAAAGTTTTCTTCAAGAGTCTTCTCTCAAAACCTTATTGCACACATTCTATCTTCAGCACCTTATTACTTTTCTTCCTGTCACTACTGAAAATTATATTATATTGTCTACTTATTTTGTCTGTCCTTTGTTTCCCTCACCAAAGTATCAGCTTCATGAGTCCAAAGGCCTTATCAGTTTGGGTCACTGTTATATTATCAACACCAGATGCTACTTGTGCCAAAATGTGCTGCACGCTTAAATGTGAATAAATCTAACTAGAAATTACCCCAGTATTTATTTCTAAGATGCATTTAGATGAATCAAGATAAATTTTGCAGACAGGAGTTGGTAACTAACTAGTTGTTGATGTGGGGGGTGATATTAAAGCTGGTTCCCTGGTTTTGGATGAAGCATAAAGGTGAATGGAGGTGTCATTTACTTGAGACAAGGAAGATTAAAGAAGTATATTTGTAGGAAAGACTCAGTTCAATTTTAGGCATCTAAAGTTTGTGATGTCTATGGACATCCAGGTGAAGATATGTGGAGAGTGGTGGCTTGGATCATGACCTCTGATTGCCTCCTGGCTGCACTGGGAACTTCCTGTGTAAAGTATAGGTCAAGATTGCCCAGTTGCTGTGGTAATACCTGGCCTGAGGAAACTGCAAAGGTTTGGAATTATATCAGTCTGGACCTGGAGCTCAAGTACCAGCTGTCAGGGATAGAGAATTCTGAGCATAACAAGATACTCTAATGTCTCACCAGTGCTGCGTCCTTCAGATTGCCTGTTTTGCAAAAACTTCCCACAAATAACCTTTTTGATGATAAAACCTATATAATAAACATGCTGAGCTAGCTCTGGCCATTATTCCTCCATCAGAGGACAGTGTCCCACCTGGACCTAGCTTTCTCTATGTGTTTGTCTTTTCTTAATCCCCCATTGCCCCTTGCTGGTTTCTGAATTAAAGCCGTGCAGGACATGGCAGAGATGTTAAGTAGTTAGATGGATATATGTAGGCCTGGAGTGAGATGACTAAATTCCTTATCATGTGAATCCTTTTAAAGTACTTATTCTTTAATTGCTTCTAAAGGCACCCTTTTTGATGGTCCTCTGGTTAAGCAGCACTCAAAATGTACCATATCTAGACTTTTGCTGAAACAAAACCTGTTAGTTCATATTTAATGAACTTCTACTATCTGAATGAAGTGATAACTACTTGACAGCCAAGAACAATGATACAGAATATTTATTACATGGGCACTTAATCACTTAAAACTACAAGTTAACTCTGCAACAAAATTCTTAAATCCTACAGAGGGTGAGTAAATAGGTCAATACAGGTTACAGACTATTTAACTTGGTTACAGAAAAAAACTCAAGTATGTGTACCTTTCTGTTGTTTCTTCCACAGTTCCTTCTCGGGTGCCAACTGGAATACATGTTTTCAAAAATGTGAACAGTCATAAATAAATAAATAAGGAAATGAATAAGTAGGACTAGTGTTTTCAGATTTTATGGTTACTCTGAACCTTGTAGATCATTCAATAAAGACCCTTGGTCTATTTCATGTGTTTAGGGGGGAAAAAAAAAATCTGAACAGTGTTATCTTCTGCCAAATCTGTAGAAAGCGTCTAGCAGATAAAAACCTTGACTCCTTGACTTAGATGTATACATTTTATCCTAGTAAAAGTGATTCCAGTTTAAGTCTGAAATGAACTTTGATGATAAAACCTATATAATAAACATGCTGAGCTAGCTCTGGCCATTATTCCTCCATCAGAGGACAGTGTCCCACCTGGACCTAGCTTTCTCTATGTGATTGATTTGTCTTTTCTCTTTTATGAGTTCTCTAATGTTTTTTTTTTTTTTTGCAGTTACTGCTTTATCAGGGTAAATTTAGAAGCATCTAGCATTTCAGCATGTTACCTTAAACATACTATGGATCTCTTAAAGCAATGGAATTTCTGATGTCCTGGACCTTCAGAGAGGATAGTTTTCTTCCCAGTGATTTGAGACTGTCCAATAAAGCATTTCTTGCTAGAAATTAAACATTAAGTTCTTACTTATTAATGTATAATAAAGTTTTTTCCTCTTAACACTGTTCAAACATCAAGAGATTCAGAGTTGTATTTATGCCAAAGATGAAGTGAGATAGTTAGGAGGTGCATTTTAAGTCCTTGGAAACATATCTAGTTTGTCTGAAAGGCCCTAAATCTAGCCAGTTGGACATACCTAGTATTTTATCATTCAATAATTCAACTTGCAATTGTACATGTCTTGTTTCTCTGTGTGTGTGTGAGAGAGAGAGAGTACGTGTGAGTGCACGTGTTTGAGAATTAGAATGACACACAGAAAACATTATTTTTTTCATGAACTCACGGTCTAGTTGATTACACGAAGAATAACAGATGTAAGGATATGAGGCTATGACAAAAAGAGAATGAATTCTGCCTAAAGAGGTCTGTGAAGACTTCACAGAAAGACAAATATTTGATTAGAGTTTTGAAGGATGGATAGGCATTTACTAGGCAGGTGAGGAATATTAAACAGGGTTAGAGTTAAGTGAGTTCTAAGAGAATGGTGGATGTAGGAGCACAGGGTGTAGAAATTTAGGCCACAATATAAAGGGTGTTGAGTGATATTGTATCATTCGCTATCACATAGCATATAGCAATGTGTTTAAAATCATTCCTATGTTGATTGGAATTTTTTTTATAAATTCCAAGTATTCCAGAAGTTACGGGGCTGCATGTGAATTATCAACGGACCTTTTGGAAAAGTTGCTAATACTATAAAGTGGGCAAATCTAAGGATATTATAAGAGTAAATGAAACCATGAAGTCATTTGGTCTCTTTTTGCAGTGCTGGGGATTAAATTCAGGGCCTAGGCACATTAGGGAAGCATTCTACCATTGAGCCACAGTCCCAATATAGTTATCCTCTCTTGAAACCAGAAAAGGGTCAAGAGACTTCTCTTTGATTCATCATATTAGTGGTCTCCAACCTGCTCAAAACTTTGAATTGAGCACAATGGCCACTTTATCACTGGCTAATATCCTGACAAGTGAAGACAAACGTGGAGTCACTGTAGACAAACCTTCTTAACATTGCCTTCCTGTGATTGCTTAATATAGGACTTCAGGAAATCTACATTTTTGGAATTTCAAAATTTGACCTGCATTCTTGAGTTTTAAGTAGTCTACGATGCAAAAGTTTATTTTTCTCTTCCTTTGGGATTTTTGGATAGCGTTCAGTTATTATAAATTAAGTACATAGTAGAAAACGAGTATTTATTCTGCAATCTGTATTTGGGGTAAAATTGGGAGTTCATAACCAACTTGAATCTAATGTATGAAATATGATATGTCAAGAGCTTTATAATGTTTTGAACAACCAATAAAAAAAACTAAATAAAAAAAAAAAAAAAAGAAAACGAGTATTTAATATCTTGAGAGTTCTATGCTGTATTTTGCAAACTTTTCCTAACTTAGCCTACACAAATGCTGAATAGGCAAACAATTATTTATTGATCACCAAAGTACCTAGAAATTTTAATTTTTTTCTAAAGATAGTTGCAGAAAGCTGCAAATCTCAAACCATAAATAATCCAGCTTCGAGCCAAGGCTGGAGTATCTAATAGGTCTATTAAAGAATAATTTTACTGTTATCCTGAATAACACGCCTAATAGTGTTAAAACAAAACAAAACAAAAAAACAACCACCACACAACCACCTCAACACAACAAATTCAGAAATCTCGTAAAGATGATTCACGGCATTTATGTATCCTATTTAGTACAAGTACTAAAAGCCATTAAACTAAATGAACCCTCGATTGATTTAACACACTTCCCAACTATCATTAATGTAAAAGAACCACGGTAGACTTTAGGACTTTCTAATAAGGCAAGCAAAGCAAAAACAATCCCGGTTCCTTAAAACTAAGCGTTACCTGCTTCTTTTGACGAAAAATTTCAGGAGAAAAGCAGGCAAGCATTAATCTTAGTTGGAAAGTCAATCTTAAAGAAAAGGTAGCCCTAGTTGTCAGCGACCTCAGCCTGTCTGGGCAAGGCCCGCGGCGGCCGTAGGGAACCTCAATGTCACCGAGTTCGGGCGGGGACGACTGGCGGAGGAACTGCGGCTGTCACGGCACGCGCACGGTCCGCAGCGGCGCTTCGCTCCACGCACCGTCAGCCCGGATTCCCCAGACGCCGCCGGCAAAAGCGGCTGCCGCTTCAGGGCAGCTTCCTTTCTCTGGCTGGGCCCTCCAGGACATAAGTCGCCGGGAGTACTCTCTTCCCTCATCAAAACGTCGCAGGCGCACAGGACAGTGGCCTTCCGCGAGGGGCAACCACACCCCTTCCCGTCACCGCTATTCCAGTCCGCATGGTAGGGAGAGGTGAGTGGACTCCAGGAATCCTCAGAAGGGCGGGGGAGGAGGAAGGAGCCTCTCTAGCTGCGCCTCCTAACCAACGCTCCTTGTTCTCGATGCTCCCCCACACGGCCGTATTACAGCACGTCACTTCCGGTTCCTTTTAAAGGCCCCACGGTGTGCGGCTCCGCGCGTGCGAGGAAGGTAAAAAAGGGAGTGAGAGGGCGGGACCGAGGAGAAAGAGGGTAGGGGGGGAACTAGCGGTGGAGGGGGCGGGGGAGGCGCAAAGGGCGCGCTCTGGCGTCACGTGACCGGGACGCGCCGTTCTTCCGTCGGCCATTTTAGGTGGTCCGCGGCGGCGCCATTAAAGCGAGGAGGAGGCAAGAGTGGCCGCCGCTGCTTCTTATTCTTTTTTAGTGCAGCCAGAGATAGTGGGAGTGCGCGCCGCACGAGAGTGGGAGGCGAGGGGGGCAGGCCAGGGAGAGGCGCAGGAGCCTTTGCAGCCACGCGCACGCCTTCTCTGTCTTGTGTGCTTCGCGAGGTAGAGCGGGCGCGCGGCAGCGGCGGGGATTACTTTGCTGCTAGTTTCGGTTCGCGGCAGCGGCGGGTGTAGTCTCGGCGGCGGCGGAGGCAGTAGCACTATGTCGGAGGAGCAGTTCGGCGGGGACGGGGCGGCGGCGGCGGCAACGGCGGCGGTAGGCGGCTCAGCGGGCGAGCAGGAGGGAGCCATGGTGGCCGCGGCGCAGGGGACAGCGGCGGCGGCGGCGGCGGCGGGAAGCGGAGCTGGGACCGGGGGCGGAACCGCAGCTGGAGGCACCGAAGGAGGCAGCGCCGAATCCGAGGGGACGAAGATCGACGCCAGTAAGAACGAGGAGGATGAAGGGTGAGTAAGGGGCAGCCCAGGATAGTGAGGCCCAACTAGGTCCCCTCCCCCTCCCTATCCCCCGCCATTAGGCCTCGCTCCCGCTCTCAGCCCGCCCTCCAGGCCCCCTTGCAGCCTCCCTGCACTGGTCTCCTCTTTGCTCTGTTGGGCTCCCCGGAGCCTTCATTTCCTCCTTCCCCTGACTGCTTACTGCCCCCTCCCCCATCACACACGTTTCCACCTTTAGCCGTCACCATGCTGCTCCCCGGCCCGCCCTCCTTTCCTCCCTCGCTACGGGTCTCCTCCCACCGACTTAGCCGCCAGGATTTTTTCCCGCCTGTCGAGGACACCTTTTTATCTGTTCCGCTGTCCTCTCTTTTCCTTGTTTTCTCACATCTTGGACACAAAAAAATGCAAATAGAAAAAAAAAAGGCTTTTCTGCCAGGATTACTGAGGTTTATTTGGTGTTTCCCCACTGTTAACGAGAGGACAAGTTTGTTTGTAAGCACTTGCTTTGGGGAACGTGTAGATCGTTCATCTCTGTTACTCCCGCGTCGGCTTCAGGCCGAATGTTTTTCATTTTAAGTAAGTTTCGCTTTAGGACTTGTTCGATATTTTTTTTTCACTTTACGCAATCGCACAACGGTATGCCTGTATAGGCCTTACATTTCCACCATGGGACAAATTTGGCCTGCTGATAATGCCCCCAATCCCTGTTAGTACGTTGGTTTTGCTTCGCGGGCTTTCCCTAAGTTCCTTTCCTAGTCGGCGGGGCTTGCACTTGACTGGAGCTGTTCCTACCTCTGGCCTGCTGGATGCCCTTCCCCCCATCCCACTGAGTTATTCTAACCGCGCACCCTTTTCGCGCCCTCAGCTATTATTGGGTTTTCCAACTATTCGTACAGATTGTACTGTTAACTTTTTCTGTGCACCTTATTATTATTATTATTATTTACATCTCTCCCCACTTTTCGGTGCCCAGGAGCCTTTTTTCGGTTTTATTTCCACCTTCTCACCCACAATTAAAGGATGCCCCCCCCTGCCCTTTTTCATAAAATAAACAGATCCTGTATCGTTCTGTGGGATAAACTTTCTTTTTTCAAGTTCTTAATACAAAGTTGCTTCCTTTAATTGGAATAACTTACACATTACTGTCTAAAGCTGCTTTGAAAAATATATTTACAATGCAGCATCAATAAGAGTTAACAGAAGGGACTAAATCCCGGCTCTTAGTTGAGTTTCTCTTATTCCCATTACTGACTATTGATCTTGGGTTAATGCCTCCATTTCTTTTTGTAATGGGGAGGGTGTATATGAAAATTTTTTTTTTCTCACTGTAACAAGGAGAAAGCTTTTGGTGGAGGGTAAAAGCAATAAAATGTCACTAACCCAGTATTAGAAACATGATTTCCTTTACTGGGCAATAGCATAGGGTTCGGAGGGGGTGTTGGGGAAGCACTTTGAAATGAAGTTTTTAATAATTTAGCCTAGGCAGATTCTTGTCAGGCTATTTACTGATGGTGCTGGCTTTGGGGGAGTGGAGGTGGGAAGGGAAGTAAACTTTTATTAATTAAACAGAACTAATCTTGAAATATACGTAGTGTAATTTGAGAAAAGAATATGTTAAATATTTGGAAATTTAAGCCTTTAACATTTTGGTTTTTGCTTTCTGAATTCTGTTCTTCGGACAGAGACACCAAAATGATAAATTATAATTTAAGTTTGGGGCAGGCTTTTTTGTTAGTCCTGAGTTTTCAAATCGCAAAGCAGCTTCCTTTGTAGTTAGCTGCTGTTGAACTGAAGTGTAAATGAGTTAAAAGTTTTTAACCCTAACAATGTCAAAAACTAAAACTAGAATTTTGATTGGTTGCTGTACCGGTTGTTAATTCCCTAGCCATTCAAACTCCTCCCCACGACACACTGAAGCAGCGACGGCACAGCGGGAAGAATGGTAAAACTTTTAAATTTTATTTCTGTATTATAAAGGTTTCAATAGTCATAACTTGAAGAGGCTGTGTATTGGTTAGTTGCCCATTGATCCCCAGGAAATTGTAGACATTGATTCAATAGGATATCTTATGCCTGGGATATAAAACATTTTTAGGTATCGTGCATAATCTTTGGGCAAAACTGATGCTATTACATATTTGGTCTGTGGTAATGCATGTAATTACATTTTGGTCAGTTTAAGCTAAATACAATTAGTATTGTTTTTATATTTGGGCAAAGAAGTGTTATCATAATTTCACACTTATTTTTGTTAAGATGAAAAATAATTTTGTTGAAATTCTAAATTAATGCTAAATATGAAGACTACTTGAAATTCTGTTTGAAATGTCTTGCATGTTATACTGGAGTATTCTGGAGATGTCAAGTAAAAATTCTTTTTAGTACTTTGAGCATTATACAAAAATATGTCTCTTCTCACTAACAATGTTTGTAAGTATACTTTTAATAAGAATTGGATATGTGCCATTCAGAGATGGGCTAACGTGGCTTTCCACTGTAGCTCTTACAAGGTTTTTTAATTTTTATTTTCCATGTGATTTGGTTGGAATGTTAATTACAGTTTGTTCACATGTATTCACAATTGCATGACTTCTCTTTAGAGGCTGGTAGGGGTTGAGTATTGTTCTTTTCATCCTGTGATCCCTCTGCCCCCCATGTCAGTCTTTTTGCCTTCAGGATCATATTTGGATTTTTCAGGTGTTTGTATCCTCCACCACTGGAGAGTAAAGAGACAATATTTTGCAGATAGTTGCCTTGTATCTATACAAACTATATTTGAAGAACCCATTTGGTAAACATTTTAATTTTACACACGATTTACTTACTATATTCTCATCCACTGAAATTTGCCTGGTTTTAGATTGGTGATAAAGTAGACTGACAACAGGCAAAGGAAAAAGCAAAAAATTATATAAGACTGGAGTCAGAGTTTGACAAACTGAGTAAATGTTTAAGATGAACAATAATCCCTCTATTTTGGTGGCTACAGGGCACAAATGACTCACCTTCACTGCTAGTTAATAGTGACATTAACATTAAATCATATAACTGTATTTGACTTATTTCATAATGCATTTTGAATCTTAATTCATTTCCAGTAATTTGAAATGACCATAAGCAATTAGATGTGAAGGTGGGTGTTGATTCTTACCAGAATTGTCCTTCCCCTGCTATCTAGAACTGTGTAATTCTACAGCTTTTGAGGCAGCCTCTTTTATGGAAAATTGACAACTATTTGTAGTTCATGAACATTTTAAAATATGACCAGTTGTCATCCTCCACTGAAATATTTTACTGAGATTCCTTTTAAGTTAAGCAAGTTTGCACTTACAAAGTAGTTCTCTATTTTTTGAGATAGAATCTTAACATTGCCTCAACTGGTCTTGAACCTGTGGGCTCTGACTTCAGCCTCCTCAGTAGTTGGGACTATGGGTATACACCACCGTGCCTGGTATTTTTTGTCTTTTAAAAGTCTAATATTTGACATGATAATTGCCTAATCATTTGGTCCAATTTTGTTGCAGATATTGAATCTTTGAGCAAAAATCCCATAAAGACCTTTAAGCTTTTTTTTTTTTTTTAAATTACACACTTGCCGACCTAAGTGTTTGTTTCCCACACATTGAGGAATATTGGGCAGGAGTTCATTTTATAGTCTTAATGGTGAGGATAAAACTGTTTAGTGGATAAAAAAATCATGAATTGATTTTAATACAATTCTGTGTATTTCTGTTTCTGAATCAATTTGTTGTGAGCATAGTTTTGCTGTTCTTTTTTCCTTTTGCATATGAGAATGAACAGTTATTTTTAGGAATGCATCTTAACTTTAGTTCTAGTGAATGTTTCCATTGTGTACTATGGGACTAGAGAATAAATGTTCATTCCCATAGTTAAATGACATCTAGAATCTTTGCTTCCCACCCCTTGTACTGGAGATTGAAACTGGTGGTGCTTTGCCACTGAACTATATCCCCAGCCCTTTCATTTTTTATTTTCAGACAGGGTCTCTTAAATTGCCCAGCTTGCCTGGAACTTGTAATTTTTCTGCTTCAGCCTCCAGAGTCTCTGGGATTATAGGCATACACAACCAGTCCTGGCTACCTTGCTTTAATCTTTATAGTATTAACATCACTAGTTTTTACTAAAAACAATTGCATTAGAAATTCTCATTTTGCTTTGTTATGTAGTATTGTTCTATTCTCTGCAATGCTATAGTAGATACTATATCTACTGTTGCAGATACTTTAAAATTAACCAGTGTCTGGGTGAAATACACATGGTCATGTAGTAAGCTACTTGGATTATTGTTTTTAAATTTTAAAGAACATTAGAAAGCTAGAGTTATGTTAGTGTTCACACAGTGTTCACACAGATGGGTTGATTATTAACTTAACCTACCCTCCCTACCCCTACCCCCACTTTGAATAGGGTAGGAAGCAAAATGGTCCCATTCAGATATAACAGTATATAGTGGTGTTTCTCTATTAACAGGATAGTAGTAGACTGACTCCTGTAACAGTATTTAAGCTCAAGGATGATTATTTTGGGGAATATTGCTATAGGTTACTTCCTGTGTACTTTTATTAGAAAGGGCTTCATGTTTTTGTTTAAAATACTAGGAATTGTAAGCTATACCTTAGTGCATCTGGGACAATATGAACATTGTTTTGTAAAATAATTAACATTTATAGTAGGCCCAAGCCAAATATACTGGCCTTTTATTCAGTAAAGTTGGGTTTGCCAGAAACAATTGAGATCCTGAATAGCTAGGTCTCAGTATTCTTTGGAACTTTTGACAGCTTTCTTAGGGTTAAAATTGCAGAAAAGGCTGTCTCCAAATCTTGACATGGTAAACGTTTAGGGGGATAGTTTTCAATTCTGCTTTACTTTTTTTATTTTTTTCTTAAATGATGCTGGGGATTGAACCTGTGCATGGAAGGCAAGCATGTTCTACAGACCCTGAGCTACATCCCCAGCCTGGGAGTATTAAATTCTTTACATTCAAATTCTCATTTGATAGGAAAGATAATATAAATTATATAATCTCTTAAGCTTAGAATTAGGGAATATTGTTGAAGTTTTTCAGTACTGCTTTTTGAGAGAAACATGTTTACCTCAAACCTGGGTTTATTTTTTTTCCAGTCATGTGACCCCTTCTATAAAATCAGTGTATATTTTTGATAATGTCTGGTTATTTTGTCATATGCAAAGCTTCCATAATATAAGAAACATTATTTTGGTGTCATTGGGGCCACCATGAAGGATAATAGTTTAAGTAATGATAAAAACCATGATTAGAATAACTGCCCCATTCCATTCATAGCTGTGCACTTTAAGTGTATGCAAATTAAATGGAATGATACATAACTTATAATTCTGTTAGTCCAGGCTTGATTTGACTTTAGCTCTGCTTCAGCCTTATAGTAGATATGGGATCTGTTTCTCTTACTTCACTTTCAACAGTGTGGTCTCGGGTAATATAACTTGTTTGTTACTTGGTTTGCTAATCGATATGTTGGAAACAATGCTCACCACAGGAAGATTGACTACATAGAATACTTTCATAGCTTGTGTGTATTTGTCCGGTGCCCTAATAGTTGATACTGCCAGTGATTTACTCCTGTGGAGTAAAGGTAAGCATATTTTAGTTTCTGGAGTATTGTGTTGTATGTTGGTGCTAGTTATTTAAGAATATTTGGGGTAACGAGGGAAGATTCCTATTTACTGGCAGTGTTTGGCTAATAATCAGGGTGATAGCTTTAAGTATTGGTTCATACAATGTAAACTCCTGCTTATCTAGATTTCAAACCATCAGTTTGGGAAATTCACCCTCTACCTTTTGGTCTTACAAAATGTATGAAACTATAGCAAATATTCTTAACCAAGCTATTCAGCAGACAACAACATGGAAAGAATGCCCCGCAATTTTTCCTTATGTTGAAAACTAATGTGTTTTTAAAGGATTGGCAGATGCTAAAAATTCATCAGGAATGATTTAAAAATCATTTTCTGATTTCAGCATTTATTTCTAATGGAAAACTTCATAGGATTGTGACTATATAAAAGTTAAGGAAATACCATTCCTTAACCTCTTAGGTAAATAGGAGTTTACATTTTAAAGTTGGTTGAGAATTTAAAAAGTTAAAACACAAGTCATTGTTTCCTTGTAATGAAATGAAGAAAAAAGGGAAATGGTGGGTTAAGCAAAGTTTATTTTAGGAAATTAGATTTAATATAAAAAATTAATCTTGCTTAGAAAATGTTTGATCTTTGTACATGTTAGTCTTGAATAAAGAATTTTTTGTACTTTATAATGTCATCCTGACATGCATTGAAAGCTGGGGGGGAATTAATAGTGGGAAAATAATTTTGGGGGGTTTATTGCTCAATTTTGATGTAGTCGTGAATAGTTAAAAACTATTTAAAAAGTAGAGTGGAACTTAAAAGTCTGGTTATATTCTTGATTTGTTGTCAACTAATAAGGTTAGCTCTTAAACAAATTCTAAAATCACTTCCATACTATCTTATCTAGTTGTGAAATAACCTTCTCATTATAGGTAACTAATGACTTAAGTTTAAAACCTGTGTTTCTGAGGAAAGTGCTCATGTCTTAGGGGCTGGTGAGATTTTGTTATAATTTATCATTTTAGGATTTTAAAAAGATTCTAATGATAAAATACCAGAAAATGATTAAAATATGGATGAATTATATGCTTGAGTAACATTTACTCTAATAGATGCCAGTGATTGGCCAATTATGGCCCATACCTGAAATGTATCAGGTTGACATTCTGTTGCATTTTGTTCAACTGTCAGAACTTGTTATGAAGCCACATATGTAAAATCATGAGTTCAGAATTGTTTGAAAGTTACAGAATGCTTTTTTTGTTGTTCCTATTTCAAAATTGTAAGTGCAAACACTTGAGTAAGTGTTTGACAGTAAATTCCAGTAAAGACTTGTTAGGGAAGGTGTCTTTAAAATATTATTGGCTTTGGAATGTTAAATCTTAAGGCCTCAATTATCAGTTTATTGATGGGGGAAACCCAGGATTATTAAATGAGAGCATTTTCAACCAGCCAGCACTATTCTGTATGTATTTCCCTTTATGTTTTAAATTATTTTTAAAGTGCTGGCATATATGTAGAGGACTGCCAAGTCACCAAAATGATTCATAGAAGCTACATTTAAGAGCTCTTAAATAAAATATGACCTAATTTCTAGTCTGTATGTAAAACTTATTTTGTCCCTTTTCCATTAATATTGGAAAGTTTATAAAGCCCTTGTAGTTAAAAAGTTAAACCATTGAGTAAATGGAAAAGTTACATTGTTATTAAATCATGTTTAGATTGTGCTTTACTCCACTATAATAACTTTAGTTTTCTGGACAGAATTCCTTGCTTTGTTCTGCTTTATTTAACTCCACTTACTGATATCTTGAGTTAGGCTTGTTACAAATGGGTAAAGAATCTTAGAACTTTTTTTCCCTCTTACTTAGGGTTATACTGTTAACAAGTGATGGAGCTAGGATTTAAACATAGGCACTTTGGCTTTTACTTCCCCTAAACTTGAACTAAAATGTGATTTTTTAAAAAAAGGCCCGGAAAGCAGCCTCAATTCCTGAGTGACACTGCATAGCATTTGGATAGTCATCTACACTGAGTCATATAATTTTATGCTTGCCATTGAATTTTATAATTTGGAGTAATAGCAGCTGTGAAAACAAAAAGAATTCTGTTATTGAGTAGGTGTTTTAAATTGCATACTGTATTGCCTTTGTGATTCTGAAATATTTAGCTCATAGATGGGATTAAGAGGTTATTCTTTATCAATGAAATACTGTAGATGAAGTCCTATATTTTAATCGGGATTGTTGATTCACTTACAACTAAGGATCGAATTTTAAACTTACGTTGCAGCATTAGGAACCAGTTTTGTTGCTACTTGAACAAGTCTTGGTAGTTTTAACTTGGCTGCTTAGGAATTTTCGAAGTTCTATCTACTTCATTGGAAAGTGTTTGCACCTCTACAGGAGTGACAGCAACTTGAAAATCAGTCTTTGTATTCAAGGCAGCAGAGGTAATCTGGACAGACAGTAGGTATTGTGCTTTAAGCAAGATATATAAAAAATGTACGTAATTTAAATTGGTATTAGACCAGTGCTTAAGTTTGACGAAAATTGTATGTCAGTGTTCTAGAGAGACTAAATAAGTGCCCATTTGTCCAAAATTAAATTAAAATAAACAGATGTTTTCTTGCTGTGATATACAGTTAATAGTTTGCTGTGCTTAGTGAATAAATTTGGAATAGATTTAATGTGTTCCATTTAGCGAAGATGGAATGGATTTGATATCATTTGTGTTGTCATATATTCACTGGTCTTATCAGTTGTTAAACAACCTTTCTTAATTAGAAAAGAAGAAAAAGCCACAGGGCTTTTGGGCCGCCAAGGTACTCATAATATTTATCTCAAAGAAGAACCACTTAGGATGTTGCTCAGAAACTATTTACATTTACCTTACACAAAATTTGAAGTTTTAAGAGCTAGCTAATTAAGTACAAAATGGAAAAGAGATACTTTTAGAAAAGCAACTGGTGATTAATAGGGCAGAAATGAAAAGTAAAACTTGTTTTAAAAGCTAAGAAATGAAATGTTCTTAGTATATCCATGAATAGCTGCCAAATTTCAGAGGACCTTATGGGCATTCTACAGTAGCAAAATATATTACTGATTACTGACCCATAGGGTGTTGAAACCATGATTGCTATATTTAAGAAGGCAGAAGAGGTGTGATGTTTTGTAGTAAAACATTTCATTCCAAGTAGTTGAATGTTTAATAAACAATAGGAGAGATTAGGGAAGGTAGGCAGTGCTTAAAGGAAGGTAGAGACTAGAAATAATAATGTGTATTGTAGATGGTCAAAATATTTGATATTCTGGATAGTATTTTGATAGATTAGGAAGGATAGTATCTTCAGTAAACCCTTTTAGCTCTAAGGTAGACTAAACTTTAACAACTTCTATAATGACTATTACTGGTGGGAAGTTTCTTTATAGAGAGCACTTTACTGGGCCACTTGATGAATTAGTATAGCATGCTTATCTAATGATTAAGAAAATTAACTTGCCTCTTAAAGAACAGCTTGGGCTTGAGAATAATAATAGAATGTTCCTCATTATAGGTATTACATTTCCTTGTAATTGTATTTGTTGACAGTAATAAATTAAGGATACTATGAATATAAATAATATTTTGCTTATATCCAAACTAGTTGTCTTTATTTGAAGAATAGGACAGAATTTTCTTGCCTTTCAAATTTACCTTTTTAAAATAAGGCTCTTTAACTTTTCCATGTAGACTGAAGTACTTTCAAATTTTGTTAGTTAGTTTTGGTAAGTTTCTGTGATGATCAGATATGATGATTTAATAGTTAATCTTCATCTGAATTTGTATCTGTTACAGAACTTGCTATGCATCTCTCAGCAAAAGGTCATTACCATGTAGTTAGTGCTCTGTCATTTGTTAAAAGGCTAGAGTCCTTACCTTGAAAGAGTAAATGTTGGTAATGGGCTTTCATATATGAAGGAAGTATTCTGGATCTTTGGGTAAAAATAAGGTGTTTATAACAAATTATGTAAGATTCGTACATTAGAAGTATTATTCAAATGAAAGAAATGTGTATTAAGAAAATACTTCAATTTTTTCATGTAATTGGCAATAAGTAAACATTTGAAATTCACATTTATAGGTGTTTGGGTTATGTTGACTTGGTTATAAATTACCAAGAGTTTTAAATGTTAATTCAAGCATGGAATTTTTGAGGAAGTTCTGAAAATTAAACATAAATGGACCAGCTCTAGAATACATGTGCACTTTGAAAACTTAACCTGAAATGAGAAGCACAGTATGTCTAAAGTAAGACTTCTTTTGCACTGAAAGTTTTGTCATTAGTAAATAAGTATAGTAAAACACTAGGATCAGTAACACCTCAGTTAATTAGGCATCTTAGAAGTGAAGAAGAAAGACCTTAATTTCAGGGACATCTTAGGAATGAAGCAGAAAGACCTTAATAAATTGACTTGATGCTAAAATGGGCCTCAGTGGCCTATCTTAAAGGCCCCAGGAAGGAGATGTTCTGTATGAAAAGCTTGTTTCAGTTCCTTCACAGAGCTGGAAGTTAATACTATATTTCCCCCATCACTCTCCGTGACCCAACCCCAGTAAGAAAGACGCAGAACCTTCAGCAAACTTAATTTTTTTTTTCTCATAGGGAAATATTTTAGCCCCCACATAACAAATTCTGACAGTTTACCCTTAAAATTTGTTTTAGACTTGGTTTTTTAAAGTATAATAGAAGGTTTAATTAAGTTTTGGAGTTCTTTCTTGCTTTTGCAAAGCAAGCAGATGCAAATAATATCACAGAATTACTGCCATATCTGACATTTTTGCTATTTTGTTGAAATATTAAGACTCAAAAATCTTTTTAAAGCTTTTTTTTCTTTCCATGTATCTTTGTTCTTGTCTTGGTGGTTTTCCACTTACCACCTGTCACTTAGCACTTTAAAAGGTTTAAATCTATTATTGCTGGTTAACTGAGGTTCTACTGTAAATAAATCATCTAACTAGTGAATTGTGCTTCATTGGATAATTCTGTTCCTTAAATTGCTTTCACAGTTACATGATTGCTTCTGTCTTTTAAGGACTAAGCACATCAAAAAAGTTTTATAGCTTATGAGGTTTAGAATTTTTTATTGTGTGCTAAGAACTCTGCTAATGGGAAAGTTATTAAAAGTAGAGAAGAAGTTAAGCATGGTTAGGAGGTCATGATCATTGGAGACTACTATGTAGCATTGACAAGTTTAATGAAGATTTGTAAGAGAAATTTGAAACTGATTGTCTTGCTATTAATGGTATTTTAGAAAAACTAGATTTTTACTTGGTTATGTATTTAAGTTTTTTAAAAGAAAGCCAAAAGACTCGTAATTTGCTGCTTGTTCATTATTTTATAATTTTTCAGCAGCGATAAACAAAGCTTTCTAGAATAATTTTTTTTTTTTTTAATGTGGGGCTATGTAGGAAGAATGACATTTTAATACACTGCCCAGTAAATTTGGTGGCAGTTTGGAAAAGATGTGTTAAAAATATGGATAATACTTAAGGCATTTCATTTTCTTTTTAGCATTTTAATACTGCTTTTTGTCTTTACAGGAAAATGTTTATAGGAGGCCTTAGCTGGGACACTACAAAGAAAGATCTGAAGGACTACTTTTCCAAATTTGGTGAAGTTGTAGACTGCACTCTGAAGTTAGATCCTATCACAGGGCGATCAAGGGGTTTTGGCTTTGTGCTATTTAAAGAGTCGGAGAGTGTAGATAAGGTAGTGTGTTATGTGTTCTGATCAGTTAATAATATAGTAAAATGTGTTTGGTTTGATATAATAAATTTGCCTATCTTGTGTAGTTTTACAAGTATAACAAGGAAGAGGCAGATTGAGGAATTATTAATACTCTGTATGCCAGGCTTTACTAAATTAAAATTAACATTTAAAAATCTTGAGACTTGGACTGTTTTTAGCTCAGTGGCCAGCATGTGTGAGGCCCTGGGTTCAATCTCCAGCATCACGAAAAGAGAATAAAACAAGTGTACTTAAAAATGTTGAGACTTGGCTAGGGATATAACTCATGCCTAGCATGTGCAAGGCCTGGGTTTGATCCCTGGCATTGGGGAAAAAAATAAAATACATAATTAATAGAAACTTTAAATGCCTAGTTAAAAGGATGTGCTGTGACCAGTTCACAGAAGCATATTTTGAAATTTTTGTTAGGTAAAGCACTTTTTAATCAAATCATTAATTTTGGTCCTGGGCCAAGGGCAAGTAGCAGCCATGTTTGTTCATGTTGCTGGCAGTTACATGGGATGGTTAAATTTGTGTGGTGTTTCCCCCACCCCCAGTTTTTAGTTATCTGTAGGTTTAGACATTAGTATGTTTGTTGGTGTGTCATATCACCACATGACTTCACAGTTTAATCTTGAGCCAGTCAACATATGCCTGGTTTTGTATTTAACTTATTTTTAAGTAAGTTCTAGTTCTAAACTTCAGTTAAAATGAAAAACTTAATTTCCTTAGGTCATGGATCAGAAAGAACATAAATTGAATGGGAAGGTGATTGATCCTAAAAGGGCCAAAGCCATGAAAACAAAAGAGCCTGTTAAAAAAATTTTTGTTGGTGGCCTTTCTCCAGATACACCTGAAGAGAAAATAAGGGAGTACTTTGGTGGTTTTGGTGAGGTATGTTATACAATGTTTTGGACAGAGTTTGTCAAAATTAGTGTGATGCATTTTAAGCAGACTAAAAAGCTAATTGTGTTTTTCCGATGTTATAGCAGATAGTGTGATTTGTTTTAGAATGGAGTACTGAAAATAATGGGCAGATTTTTGGAAGTTAGATAACATTTTTCTCATGTAAATGAGCACAAGTGTTACTGGGCACAGGTACAGAAAGATGAAACAGAGAAGCATTCTTTTTTTTTTTTTTTTTTTTTTTCAAGTGGCGAGGTTTTGCTATGTTGACCAGGCTGCCCTTGAACTCATGGGCATAATCCATCCTCTTGCCTTAGCCTCCCAAGTAGCTGGGACTGCATGTAGGTGTCTTACTGTGCCCTGCTTGGACAAGCATTCTAAACTCAGATTTTCCAAATTAGTAGAAGAAATAAAAATATAGACAATACATGGAAGAACCCACGTGGGTTACCTGAAGTACAGAAGAAAATGTGTTGAGAATAGGAAGGAAATGAATGATCAATAGGATATAGTCCCTTATCAATTTAAACATGTAGAAGAGTATTAATAAGAGTAATTATACACTTAATATTTGCAAGAGCAAGCAACATTGGAACTGCTGCTGCCTTCCTGTATGGCAGCAGCCATCTAAGACTTGAATAGCAATTTTCCGTGATGCGTTTGGCATATGCCCTCCAGTTTATAGCAGTCTTGCCTTCTCCACCTGTTTTTTCCCCAAACATAGACATTTTAGGTTTTTCTTTAAATTGACTATCTTGTTACTTGTAAGCATTTGAGTTTCTAATCCTCAAGTTAGGTAGGAAATGTAATAATTGGTAAAGCTTGCTTTTTATTATTAGTTGTGAAGATTTGGTTAGAGTGGATACTCTTAAATTTGAAGAACCTCTTAAAAAATTAGAATAAACAGGGAGAGACAGCAGAATAAAGCTTGAGGGCCAAATGTATGTTTGTATGTTTTTTCCCCCTGTTAATCTTGTGCTGTTAATGTCAGATTGAAAATTAGAACACTAAAGCTCATGTTTTAATATCAGGTGGAATCCATAGAGCTCCCCATGGACAACAAGACAAATAAGAGGCGTGGATTCTGCTTTATTACCTTTAAAGAAGAAGAACCAGTGAAGAAGATAATGGAGAAGAAATACCACAATGTTGGTCTTAGTAAAGTAAGTTAAACATCCTTAGCTTGTGGAGAAATCTAGAGAGTTTGGCTTTCTGTAAGGGCTTATTTTAAATAGCATGATTATACATTGGCTCCTTGCTCCTTAGCAAAAAAAGTTGATCGATGACTTTAGGAGGGACTGTTTTGTTAAAGTGAATTTTTGAATGTCTACGTTTTTATCAAAAAATGTTCTTTTAGGACCTGGCATGTAAAATGAAATTACATATCTCTAGCAAGTAATTATTGTATATCATCAGAAGTGATTATTCCTCTTAGTACTATTGCCTGATCTAATTGAGAAATTGAACTGGATAGTAGTACCATATTAGCCAACCATTTAAAACATTGGCTACATACTGATAATTATAAACTCTTCAGTGGCTTTATTTTCTTGAGTCAGTATAATGTAATTTTTCTCTTTTAGTGTGAAATAAAAGTAGCCATGTCGAAGGAACAGTATCAGCAACAGCAGCAGTGGGGATCTAGAGGAGGATTTGCAGGAAGAGCCCGTGGAAGAGGTGGTGGTAAGCTATAGCCTAAGTTTACTCTTATCTTAAGCTTTTCTGCTTTTTAATTATCCTGAAGTAAAGATCTTTGCTGATCTTCTGACTTTAGTGAACCTATTAATGTGCTGCAGGCCCCAGTCAAAACTGGAACCAGGGATATAGTAACTATTGGAATCAAGGCTATGGCAACTATGGATATAACAGCCAAGGTTACGGTGGTTATGGAGGATATGACTACACTGGTTACAACAACTACTATGGATATGGTGATTATAGCAGTAAGTACTATACTTTTTATATTAACTGCTATTTGACATTTATTTTGTACAAATTTGGATAGGTAGAAAAGGTAGTGCAGTTTTGCCAAGTGCAAACTACTTCAGGTTTCAAATTCCTGGAAACTTTAAACTGCAGCCATTTTATTGCTAGGTTCCTCCCAGCCTGAATCACCTGCACATTATAAGGGTAGAGTGCATGTGAATTCTGCATAGGTATGCTGAGCTTTTGTCTCTCTGGCATTAAAAAAAAAAAAATTTAGGTCAGGTTAGATCTTGTAAGCTCGAGGTATTCTAAGTGTCATTTCTTGGACCTACCAAA